AGAAGCAGTTAAAATATCTAAGTTTCCCTGTGGTGTTAACAAGACTAAACAAAATTTATGCTTTGAGATAAAACAGAACCCAGGGCCTCTATCTTACAAACACGTCGACCGATAGCATGTGTATGGATTGCCAGCAGGCTCTGACACAGACAGACCAGGATATAGCTACTAGCCTCTTGGCCTTCCAGCTGTGCAGCCTTGGGGCAGTTACTTGGCCTCTCTGAGCCTCAGTTTCTTCAGCTCTAAGTGCAGGATTGCTTTGAGAATTAGAACCTATGCAAAGGCCCTGGCCCAGGGTGGACCTTCGACAACCAGTAGGCCCTGCTATTATTCTTTGAAAAATCCGCACTCATTTCAGCTGAATCCTACGGTACCCAACTCTTCATGGTCCTGAATCTTGGACCTGAATCTCTGAACTTGGAAAGAAGCACATCACACCACTGCAGAAGAAGAATCTGTTTCTTTGTTTCAGGGGAGAACGAAAAGAGAGCTGGAGGAGCTGGCCTGCCCCTGCATTCTGGGGTCAAATGGGCTGTTTACCAGCATGATTTGCTTTCACCTCCTGAGAATGGCCCTGTGGAAAAAGTCCCTCCAGGGACTACAGATGCCTAAGGGGCGCTGTGGATTCCGTGATATCCCTGCCTGGTCTGGCCAAGCTGCCCCCATCCCCCCTGCAAAAAGCAGCTTCCCGTGCAGCCCCCACAGCAGGAGAGAAGGAGAACGGTTAAAGAAGGGGGTTGCCTGTCAACTTCTCTGCAACGCCTGACGTGATGTGAAATTCTACAAGGTAGACCCTTTGAAATGCAAAATCTTCCACAGTCCTTCAAACGTGTTGTTATTTTCTCGGGTTCCTAAGGCTGCTTTCAGACCTACCCATCAGCATTTCCCGTCTCAATCAACCCACATGTAACAAAAAAAACAAGACAACGACGAAGGCTGGCTGCAGCAAAGACGTCTCTGTTTTCTGAAAAAGCTCAAGTATCTCCCCAGTCGGTGCAAGGAAAGAAAATTCCTGTCCTCAGCTCCAGCCTCCTTGTGTCCCTCCTCCCAGCCTAGTGAAGCCAAGTTTCCTCTGGAAGATTTCCTCCCATCCTAACCAGCACTGCACTAACTCTGCTGCTGCTCAGGATCTCAGAGAACTTGCTTAAGACAAGAATCCGGGTGCCCTCTGACCCGAGTTCGGGAAGGTTAAGACAGGCGCCACCAAAACCACAACCTGCAATTCTTGAAGCCCAAACCTGGATCCCAAACTGTGTGCACAGGAGGTTTGGATTAAACATCAAAAAAGAAGTTACCTTAAAACAAAGCTGTTTGGCAAAGAAAATTACTTTCCCATAAGAAGAACCCTGGGGAACAGTAAATTGCTTTTGAATATAGACTTTTCAGTGGCACGGTCATTAATCACGTTAATGTAAACTGCACTAAAACAAAAATTTTCTAAGCAAGTCTCTGGGCACATCAGCATATCTAAGCCTCTGGGTTTGTTTCCAAAGTTCACATCCCGGCACGCAATGAAACTGCTGTTAATGGGGTCAGCTATTACAGTGCAGTCCCCGACCTTGGGCCATAATAAAGGTGACTCAGCCATGTAGAAAGAACCCTCATAAAGTTAGGCAGGAAACAAACACAGAAATTAATCTGAGGAGAGTCAGTGATTTTGGGAAGTGTATTCATTGGACAAGTTTAAACAGCAACTGTCCCTGGATGATCAGATGTTTCAGAAAGGAGCTGAGGGAGATCAGTCAACATTCCTTGCAGCACCCAAGTCCCTCGGCTAGGCCCTGTTCTGGAGGGTGGAGGACAAGGGCAGCAGCTGGACAAGGCGAGGAGGGGAGTGGAGCCCAGCAGAGTTAAGCTGTGCTGAGCCCCGCCAGACTGGGCCATGTGCTTCGTGTTGGCAACAAACCGGTTCTTTCAAGAGAGGAAGAGTCTGACAAAAAGGACAGCTGCAGCAAAGCAAAAAGACGAGAAGCAAAAACCTCGAAAAAGCCCCGGGTTTGGGATTCTCCCCTCAAGTCAAGAAAAAAAAAAAAAAAAAAATCACCTTTGGGGTTTGCCAGAGCTAGTTAATCTATTAAAGTGTCCCCCTTGCTGGATCAATTAAAGAGAGCCCCTCCACATCTGGTTTCCATCTAAAACTGAAACTTGTATTATCAGCATATTACATAACAAATTATGCCTGCAGGTTTCTTTTATTACACATCAGAGAGGTGTGTGTGGTGGTGGTAATGATGGGGGTTGTGCTGATCTGAGTATCTGCTTATTTCAGTCTTTTTTTAAGGGCAAGAACAAAAAGTTTTCCACACAGTACGCAATTCAAAAAAGTCACACTGCCCGGATAACACATCAGCTGAACAGTCCAACAGTGGGTCCAGCGCTCAGTCTTCAAGGCCCATAGCACCAAGCAGTGGGTGAGAAGGGTGTGCTTTTTAAAGAGCAAAGATACACCAAATTGCTCTGAGGCGTCCTCTGCTGCCAGCTCCCAGACTGTACACAAGGCTCCCTCCTCTCCAGCCTCCTGCAGGGGGGAGAGCTGGCTGGCCTTTCCTGAGCTTCAATCAGGGGTCAGGTGCCTGCTCCCTGAAACCACTTAAAGCACACTCAGCCCACTAGGCTTCTACGGACCTGGGGAGATAGAGAGACCAGGGGATAGTGAAGGAATCAACCTGGGGACAGAGAAAGATTAAAAGATGTGGAGAGAGTCTAAGAAGTAACAACAGGGCTTCCCATAAAATGTCAATTAAGTGTAGCCACCATGGTGACAATAAGGTATCTTAAAGCTCTTCCCAAAAGAAGTTTATGAACTTCCAAACTGCTACTACATGCGACATACCCTAAGTTGAAAACAGAAGGGAGGAACTGACTTAAAACATTATCAATCATAACAGTGGAATGCTCTACTTGTTCTGCCAGCCTTAGAATATTCCAGTCCACTTCTGCAGCAATGGCACCACTAGCTTTTACTTAAAACTTGTCTTGATATCAGGATGACTGCACATCAATATCACCTTCTCAAGGGAAAATAAGAAGTCCTTGGGCAAAATTATTTGAACTGCTCTTAGAACCACCTTGTCCTCCAGAGGGGCATTTGGGAGAAAAACACAGCCCTGCCACAAGCTTCTCCTTCCATTTCGGGACTGTAACAGCGCCCTGGGAGCTGGATCAGCATGCTCCTAGGTCTGCAGGACCGCTGGCAGTATCCAGACCCTAGCCAAGTGCAGACACAGGGTTAAGAGCTACCAATCCTGAACTTAAGACCCAAACCTTCTCCCACTAACATGGGCCTATCAACTGGGACAAGAGGCTGTTCTCTGTTTATCTACTTCTCCACAGCTAAGAGAAAGAAAAAAAAAAACCCTACAGATCTGCAATTCAGTATCAAAACTGTAACTGAGATAAGTTACTGTTAAGTGGATAAATTAAAATGAAACCAAAACCTGGCCAAGTCAGGAACAGTGAGTTTCACCCAGTCTGCTAACACCATTCCTTCTCAAGTCCTCAAGCCGGGTGGCATTTTTTAACCCGGAGTCCAGGATCTGGAGCAAGGAGGGATCCCCTTCCAGCCGGTGGGAACTGCTGGGAACACATATGCTAGAATGTCATTTGGAAGTCTGCTAATATGTTGTAAGCAGCACAAGACGCTTGCCTGGCTTCCCAGGCCAATAAACAATGCCATTCCAACTCCTGCAGCAGTCAATAGAAAACAGCCTCTTGTCTCCACCACCCAACAATTCAACAAACATTTGTTCCTGTTGAACAACCGTCAGCCTGGCTCCATCTGCACCCGCTCCGGCAAGGCGAGCGCGGCAGCGGCACAAATGCCCTGCCCAGGGTCCCGGGCCCGGAATGCAGCCCACCGCGGGGGCCACTTGCCCATACCACCGAGTCCGGAGACTGTAACGTATGTAAGACTCGGAGTGTGGCCTATAGGAGGCAGAATCCCATTCATCAAATGCTGCAAAGAGCTGTTCTTTGTTCACCATCTTATGAAGTACAGTACGTGTTAATGAACTCGGGCGGTCAGACGGAGGGAGCCCGGTTTCAGGCGGCGTCCGGGGGCGAGGGACCCGAGTAACCCGGCTCGCGCGACTTGCCGGTGCTCAGCCACCCTGTCCCGCGCCACCAGCATTGTTCCCCAAGTCTGTGGGCGGAGGTGGGTAGTTGGAGGGGTGCCCGAGAAGCCACTTGGGACAACGCACACCGAGAGCCCTCCCCGGACTCTGGGTGTCCTTGCCTCACCAAGAGAAACCCCGAGCAGGGAAGCCGACTCCCAGGGTCTTGCAAATCAAAGACCGGCAAAAATGTGACTCGACCAGTGTGCCCGTGCCGGACGGCCCTTCTCGCCATGTGCAAAAGCCACGCCGGCGCAGGAGCCCCCCATTCGGAAAGCCCCCGCCGCGGCCACCCCGCGGGCTTCCCCGGCCCGGGACAGAACGCCCCTCACCCACAATGTGACCGCCCCGGCCGGTCCAGCAGCCGCGGGGCCCTCCGCTGCGCGCCCGCATCCCGTGGGTGGCGGACGCAAACTTCCGCGAACAAAAGAGTTGTCTGCAAACGATGCGGGAACTTCGGGGCGAGCGGGACCACCTGGGTTCCGGGGCTCAGCGCCTTAGCCGCCGCCGCGAGCCAGGGCTCAAGTTGAGACGCGGAGAGGAAGACACCCCCGGGCGCAGCCGTCCCCGCACCCGCCCCGGGAAGCGAAGACTTTTCCGCAGGGGCCGGGATGGTTCGTTCCCCTGGCTACGCTCTGACAAGTCTCACGCCCGCACCAGGGGCGACACTCAGCGCCCCGAGAAACCACCCGACCCAACGCGAAACAAGGCGGAAAAAAAGGAAACCAGCAACATAAAAAATAAATAATTTTTAAAAGGACAAGCCCAGCACACACGCGAGCAGGGAGGGCTCCCTCCAGCCGGCGGCCGGGGCGCACATAGCAGGGACCTCCGCTCTGGACCGGCCTCCCGGCCGCCACCGCCGCCGCCCGGCCCGGGGTCGCTTACTGTGCGCGGCGGGACGCTTCGCGCTCCGGCCCCGCGCCGTCGCCGCCGGCGCTCGCCAAGTCGTCCGGGCTGCCCGCCGCGCGTCCGCCGCGCGCACGCTCTCCTGCCGGCGCCGAGCGCTTTGTACCGAGCGGCTCCCAGAGAGGAGGAAATCGACTTGTCACTTCCTGAACTGTTTGCAACTCGTCCCTTTAACCAGCCCCAGCCAGGCCGCCCGCGCCCGCCGCCGCCGCCCGACCGCGGCTGCGTGTCGCTGAGTCCGGGGCTCTGCGGGCC